ATCAATTTTTTTAATAATTAGAATAATTTATTTATGCTAATTAAAACGCCCATTTATTTTTCGATATTTTTTTTCCTCCCTTTGATCTTAAAACATTAGATGTTTCTAAAAGAACAAGCAAGACGACTCTGAACAAGTATACAAGAGAATATATGTTTGTCATGAAAAAATATATTGAATAATTATCATTTACAATTTCACAAACGAGTTAAAATATAATTTATTATATATTCCCCCCCCCCTTCCCCCTTATTTTGGAAAAACAAAATTATCTTACTAATTTACATGCAAAAAAATACATAAATTATAAATTATATTTCGCTCGCTTCCATAATTCATTGTAGTTAATTCTCGTATTTCATTTTAAAGCATTGACTCGCAATAATTATTTAATAAATAAAATTAACAAAGTATATGATAATTTAGTGATTATCTAGTAAAGGAAATCACCTTTAAATTCAACTATAAGGGGTTCCCCTTTTTAAAAAATATAATAACGATGGTTTAAAAAATACGTCACGCTCTGAAGTCTTTGTAACTCTGCGTCACAATTTTGTAATAAATATTTTAGTATGTGATGCCAATTTTTTTTTAGAAAATTCAGATAAAAAAAAATATATCAAAATTTGGCAAGAAAAATCTAAAAACCCTTTATTTATTTTCCACCTCCATTTATTTTCCAAAAATAAACTAAATGGGGCTCCATTTTATTAGACTATATAGCCGAGCACTCTCTTTTTTTTCTAAATTTTCTCCTAATATTAAATTATGATGCAAAACAAAGCGTATACTTTGAGATCTTTATACAATTATAGAATTATCAAAATATTATAAATATACCCTGCAAGAGAGGTCTCCATGTCCTTATGTTACGTCAATGGAGGTATAGTTATATTTAAAAAAAATAATTAGGGATAAGTTAAGATTAATGGAAGAAACATAAAATTTACCAGATTTTTTTTTCACTCCCGCTGATATTATTGGGATTGCTGCAGGGAAAAATTCATGGAAGATGCGTGGCATTCGAATGTGATTGTCAGGCCTAAGACTGTCATCTACTAATTAATTTTTTTGGCTCTGGGGCTTGTTGTGTATTTCCAAATGTCCGGCTTATTATCATCAAAAGCCGAATGTTTTTGGAATCTGTTTATTGGAGCAGCCAAGATCGTGCCTAGATCTTTTATCCGTCATCTTATTACAATGCTTGCAGTTCATATGCGGAAAAACTAAACCGCATTCAAGACGTTGTCCAATGGTTACTCTTAATTATTAATTATCGAAGAAACTATTTGAAAAAAAATATCTAACCACTTGTTATGTCAGGATTCTTCATTAATGGTTAGTAAAAGTTGGATAATCCAAGGGAAGGCAATCAGGTTTGTTTGAATAACTTTTAAATAAAATTATTAATAATATATGACAGACTACAGAGGTACCATTTGCACAGCCCGGTCCAGGTTTTATATTTTCAGGCTCGGATTTTTTAAAAAATTACATTTGCTCTAAATTTTTATAACTAATAGGCGATTTTAAAAATTTGTTTTTAAAATACCCAGTCAGTCCCTGTTAGTTTTTAAGAAAAAATTTAGGCCCGGCCTATATTTAAAAAAAAATACGGCCCGGCCAGGCAGTCTGATAAATAATATTAATCCAAAATTTGTAAATGAAAATTTGGTAAAATAATAATTGCAAGAATGCCCTGGAATTTGGAATACAACCAAAATAAGAACAAATGGTAACGTAAAATAATTGAAGGAAGGGGAAGGGAGAAGGATTCACGAAATCAGACAAATTGTAATTTCTCAAATGATGGATGATCCTCCCGAAATAGGCAACTCGGCCAAAATCTGGGCACGAAATTTCGAATTTTAGTTTTTAATTGTAAATATATTTATATTATTTTTTTTTGAATCGGAAAAACATTTGGATTTTAAATTTAAAGTTCAAAAAAAATAATATTAAATAAACATCAAGAATCAGAAAAATGACAAAAATCTCATTTTCTAAAATTGAAATGGAAGTATACTTAACATATGCCTCATTATAACCGTACCGAGTTATACAAACGGATTCCAAACAAAATTTGTCTCTTTTTTTCTAGTTTTCACTTTTTAATTAATAAATTTAAATTGAATTTAAGGGTAACTAATATCTTCCTTCATCTGAGAAAAGTATTTATTTTAATTTAACATTAAAAAAATTCTTTTAATAAATTTTTTTATAATGAAAATGAGAATCTCCAGCTGGGAAAATATGCCTTAAAATAATCTCAAATCACAATAATTATATTAAAAAATTTTTTTATATATTTTTCTATATCGAGTTCCTTTCTTTAAACAATTTAGTAAATTTTTTCAAAGAAAAGAAAGAAGAAATATGAAAAAATTTAAAATATAAAGCCATTGAATGGGATTGATTTCCTTATAGCGCATTTAATCATTCAATTCCATTCCTCGACATTTTTATCAAAAGATTGTTTTAAAGTTTTGATGGATTTAATTTAATATAACCTCAATGGGGAGGGCGGGGGGGGGGGGTTGTTTGCAGAACAAGGAAGAAAAATGGTTGAAAAACAATGTGATCATAATTTGCTTGATTTTAAATAATGTTTTCTTCTATTTTTTTTAATCTTAAAATGAATGTGACAAAACAATTCAAGAAAAAAGAAATATAACAATTTCCGAACTTTAAAAACAAAATTCCTTCTTACTGTTTTTATAATTAGTTTTACTAATAAATAATAAAAATAAAATTTTTTTAAAAAAATTGACAAATTTGACATTTTTAAGTCAGAAAAATAAAACTTTTTGAAGATGAATTAGATTTTCATTCTTCAATAAATTTTAACAAGCTATCAGTTCTACTAAGTAAACATTAATATAGATATAATATTTAAGTAATATTTTTAACTACATAAATAACGTAATATTTAAAAGAAATATTTAGGTCTTTTTCTTTCTAATCAAAGTGGAGTCAATCGCTTCAATAAAAGAAAGGTATACAATATATTAAATTGGAACTGGGAAACAAATTTATGCTGAATATATAGTAAACATGTCCTGTTCAAAAGTTGCCTTATTTAACGATATCTAAATTAAAGCTGATTCTTCATAGCGATAATATTTAATAATATATATCTACTGTTTCATAACAAATATTTAGTAAAAATATCTTCTGCTTTTAAAAAAATGTTAATAAACTCTTATAAAATATAACTATTTATTATCTTGATTTTTGTAAATAATCCTGAGTTAAATAACACACCGCTTGAACATAACTATAAATTCGCCCTTATGAACAGAAACCAAAACCACTCTTATAATTTATAGGAATTGAAAACAGAAGATTTTTATGCATATTAAACAGAGTTTGCAACTGGTACACAGAACGATCGAAACCGACGCCTGTTTTAGAAAAAAATTTGGAACCAGAAGTTACTGTTGTTAAAAAGCCCTATTCGGGGCAAGTTTTATAAATGGCCCGATTAGGAATATAGCCAAAATAATATTATGTAAGTCTAGAGATTTTTCTCATAGATGACAGAAAGGTTTGGACATCCATTTATTAAATTTCGAGGTTTACATAAAATTATTTTGGCGAAATTATTAATCGGGCCGTTTTTAAAAATAGACCCAAATCGGTCTTTTTAACAACACTAACTGGAATCATATTCATTTTTTTAGTAGAACCCTGACTCGAAAGACAGTCATATTCTTTAATATTGCAATTGTATGTAAGTAAATGGATTTTTTTTTCGCGTAAAATGTTTTTTATTTAATGATATAAGATATTTGGCATTAGACCACTTTGTTAAACTGCTAGACATAAGGCCATCATCTACAGACTAATGCTTATACTTATACTTTAAAATATCAAGGCTGTAGACATTTGCGAGACCTCAGCTCAGTGCCATATCTAAGATTTTACTTTGGGAAGAGGAGGGTGGTCAAATTCCTATTGACACCCACTTAAATATATGCCAATGCTCCAGCTTATTCTTATTAATAGCCAAATGCCTCTCGACCTACCTTGAGTATAGGAAACAAATCTTCCTAAAGTTATTCTTAATTAAAATGTTATATTTTATGGATAAGAAATGAGAGAACAGAGGATTAGGAGATAGGAAAGTTTTTTAAAATAAATCAATTTTAGTAAAAAACTGAAGAAAGAAATCAATAAAAAAAAGAAGGGAGGGGAGGTTAACATCAATTTTAAATAATAAAAAAATATATAACAATTCAATTTTTTTTTCTTCTTTCTTCTCTTATAATCTAAATTTCATTCGTCTTTGCTAATTGATAAAACTCTCTGTTTTAAAATATTTATTATCTATTTTTCAAAGATTTATCATTTTCGTATCTTTACTAATTATATCATATAATATTTCAACTTCTAAATTTAAATTTATTATTAATAAATACTATTAAATAGATAATCTTTCATAAAAAAAATATATACTCAAACTTTATAGGCAATTAGAGCTTAATAATACTATTAATATTTAAAAAAATTCAAATATTTATATTTTTAATCAAATTTTTTTTTATTATTATTTTAAAATTAATAAAGAAATCAATAATCAATCAGTTGAAATTGTCAATTTTTTTTTATTAAAAAGAGAAAGCTTTTATGACATCTTTAATTTTTTTGCCATTTTTTTTTGATTTTGACAATCATTATAAAAATATTTTTTTAAAAAAATATAATAAAAAAAATCCCCTACTTAAAAAAATAGAAGAATAATTTTAATTTTGTGTCATTTAAAAAAAAAATGTCTCTCTTCTTCCTCCTTATTCCTTATTCTAATAGAAAGAATTGATGATTTGAAATCTTCTGGCAATGCCAAAATAATATAATAAACTTATTTCATTCATCCCTTAAATAATAAATGATAATAATTTAGTCTAAACCCCCAGTATAAACATTTTAAAATGAGATAATTATTTTTTTTTTATTTTTTTTTTAAAAGAACCAATTCATATTTTGGCCGATAAAATTATTTAATAACCGGTTTCAAAAAAAAATGATTGAGGAAAATGGGAAAATAATTCAAGCACTCCAGACGATCTCACCGAAAAATTTTATGGAATCTTCATCATTAATCTCTTTACCTAATTTTGAAAAAACTGATCCCCTAAAAAGTGAAGCAAGTTTTCGAATGGCGCTGCAAAAGGGTAGTTTCGCGACTTTTCAAAATGGTTCCCTTATTCCAAATCATGACTACCAAAGTTTTCTGGATTTTGGACAAATATTCTTAGCATACTTGAATTTGATAAAATGGTAAAAATAATTTTAAAATATCAGCATTTCTTATTTTGCCATGTCCAAAACATCAAAAAATTTAACATAAAAATTTTCCAAATTTCTTTGAAAAAAACGAAATAGCCTTTTTTTAAATAGAAAAATGAAATATATGGCCAAAACAGATTTTCTGAGATTTTCAAAACTTTATCATTAAGTTTTCTTAAAATTTTAAAACTTCTGAAAATTTCAAAACTTAAGGAATTTTTAAAACAGGTTTTGTACGTTTTTTATGGCAACCTTTATATTGTTTGTTTCAAAAAAAAAATTTAAAAATTTTTTTCTTTGTCAAAACCATAATTTAGTTTTGACTAAATATTATTTTAGCTCTAAGGTATATTAAAATTTTTTAAATTCAGATTATGGTTATATTACTTGAAAGGCCATTTTTTAAATATATATTTCATTATATTGGTTGATTTTATACACCTTGGCCATTGGCATCAGAAAGGAGAAGCAAAGGTGTAAATACAATTTATCACCCCCCCCCCCCAATTATATGGGATTGTAAGGGGTAAGTTTATAACGACACCCAATCGTCATGTGAATAAAATTAGAGGTGAGTAGAGTGGATTTCCTTTTTTTTGGTAGCAGGGAGTATGGGTGTAAATTTAGAGAGGGCAAAAGTTTAGGTGGCTAAAATCTTTATTAGCTTTTAGGTTTTATAAAAAAATATTTTTGTGAGCATCCCAATAATCTCTTAAGTACCACCCCCCCCCTCACCTCCAATAAAAAATTTACAGTATAAGATTACGCATATGGTTTAAGGTTTGGAAGGATTAGTATAGAAAGAAAATGGCGGGATCTGATCCTGTCAATTATATATATCTTTTACAGAATATTATTATGAATTCAGTTAATATTTACAATGTTATTTTTTTTAACTATTGTGTTACTCTCTTTTAATACCAGTTACTAATATTTTTCCCAGAGTTAAAAAAAGGTTATTTTCTTGGCTCCGCTCAATGATAAGAAGAAGAAAAAAAATGCCTTTATGATCACGTGGTTTGCTTCTATTTTTATAAAAAATCTCTAAAAAATGTATTTGTTACAAGGTTAACATAATTAATTTTATATATAAATTTTTTTCACAATTAATGAACATTGTTAATTTTGACTTTTTAGTATATTGCCAAAAACCCTAATATTTAAAGTGTTATTTATATGAAACGGTTTAAGAATGTAAAGTTCCATTCTTTCTTAGACTTTTATTTTGTTCAAAAGTATACAAAAATTTGCCAAAGTTTGGATATTGAAAGTTAAAAAAACAATATTTTTTTTAATATATGTCGTCAGAATTTAGCAAGTTCGGGACTTTTTTTCGCCGACTCGGGTTTTTAGCGAATTAGTTAAAAACTTAATTTATTTAAGCGCACGTTTCATAATCTTTGAAAGGCTTAATTTTTTTTTACCTGGAATCGTCTGCTTTTAAATTTCTTCATGAATATTTCCGGTACTTGACAATTTAAAATAAATCAATACATTCAAATTGGCACAAATTAAGTAGAGTAGTTCATCACGGCAAAATTACTTAAAATTCATAAGTGCTCGAATACGAATCTGGAAAAACTTGATTTTATCAAAATTTAAATAATTCTTACAGATTTTCCATAAATAGAGATTTGCTAAAGGACTTGTTTTTATTATCATTTTTTTTACCCATTATATATAGTACAAAGAAAAACTAGTTAAGTTTTTTGATAATTTTTATTGAGCAAACTTATTTTAATTCCAGTGTAATTATGAATACAAACAAAAAAAAATTAGGCTAATTAAGTAAACTTTTTTTTTAAATAAAAATTTTCAATATAATTTTTGGCCCCATTTTGAATCAGTAAAATAATAAAATAAAATTTATATTTAAAATTCTCTTATAATAATGAATAACATATTTTTGTAACTGTCTATTCTATTATTCGGCATAGTTACTAGTAGTGTTGTTAAAAAGCCCGATTTGGGTCGATTTTTCAAAACGCCAAACAGAATCCGACCGAACTAAACCGATTGGACTCTGATTTGGCTGACAAAATAATTAGATTACATTTGGTTCTTATTCGAACTGAATTAAGTCGACCATTTTCTAAAGTTTCGGATTGTGAGGCGAAAACTGGTTTAGGTTTTTTCGATGGTCCCTTAGTAAAAAAAATAACGCTGTTTTGTAACATAATTGCGTTTTAACTTCAACAAATAAATTGAAAAATATTTTATTTATATAATAATATTAAGGGCATGGAAATGAGTATTGGAAAGGGACTGGAGGAAAGGAAATGAAATTAGGAGATAGTTAAAAATTTTGGTTAAATTTAAGATTTTTTTCAGAAAATATTAATCTTTATAACATAATTATTGAATTTAATAACAATTATATATATATATATAATTTGAATTTAGAGCTTAATATAAAAATTTATTATACATATTATATAAAGGTTTTATATTAATATTTTCACTTCTTATTTCCTATTTGAAGCCTTGCTAACGCCAATTTCACACAATTCAATTTTGGATTTTACTTTAAAAAAAAGAAAAAGGAACAAATAAAAGAAAAGATAAGAAAAAAGAGATGAAAAAAAAAAGAAAATGGAAGAAAAAATAATAAAAAAGTTTAATAAAATTGAAAACAGAAAATGTATAAGGAAAACTTAAAACTTTAAATAAAAAAATGCTACTTTTCTTATATGATGCAAAAAAGTACTTTTTTTTTACACATATTTTAACAATAAAAAAAACTATTATAATATTTTTTTCCTAGTTAATTATCGCATATTTTTCAGTTTTATAGTTATCTACTATACTTTACTTATTATACTGTATTAAATATCAAGAACGTATTTAAAAAAATATATAAAAAGGAATATAGTCAATCTTGATATAATATATAAAAACAAATAAGTTTTAGTTTTAATGATCCTATATAATTATCAATATAAGGACAAGGTCATATCATTTTTCAATTTCACTTATAAAAGGATAAGCTAAAATAATTTACTATATAATTTTTTTTTTTAGAAATTATTTAATTTCTAAGCTTTGGAATAAAATAACACATTGAATTTTCTTCTTTTGTTATGGAATTCTTCCCACCCGGCATTTCTAGACCACACCTTCTCTACGTCAATTATTACCCCTTATCCTCAACAATTTTTACACCCCTACCCCTCCCAATCCCCTACAAAATCAAAACTAACATAAAAAGGAAGTTCATTCAAATTAACCAACCATATCCCACTCCATTACCCCATTACATTTATTAATCCCCACCTCCCATTTTATTCAAATGACGATCATATTTTCATGACGTCCTAACCCCTTCAATTTTAATGAAGATCTTGCATGATATCAGCCCCCCCCCTCCCTGGTAGAAACGCTTTCTACACATTGCGAGTTCATATTTTATTTTTTTCACCTTGGCTCTAGTCTCATATCCTCCTTTAATAAAACCTTTTAATTTTTGCCAGTCTCGTCTCCTACGCTTTTCTCTTTCCACCTCTCAACTTTCTGAAAATATAACCCTCTTTCCATATTACCAATTCATTTTAATTGAGTTTTCCGCATGTTCTCTTTTATTAGACAAATTCTTCTACCAGCCACTTTTTTAGCAGGTTCATATGTCCAGCTCCGAGTTCAGAATTAATTATTTTTTTAAAGAGGGATAGGTTTGGGATCAGATTTAAAATTACCGGGTTCGGAGTAAGTTAGTATGGATAGGTTTGTTTTTCTTTTTGGGGTGATGGCAATTTGAAAATAAATATAAGTTATATATTTAATTATATTTTAAATGATGACTATCACAATTTTCTTAGAATATTCATTTTTGTAAAAAAAAAAGAAAAATTAAAATTATTTTTAAACAAATGGCCAACAATAAGTGGACCTGAAGATCTCCAACAAAAATTATGTGCCTAGCAATTCGGGCTACAACCTATAAATATTATATTTATATCGTTTTTAAGTCATCAAACTTTGCTGATATCCTATTTGAATATATTGATATACGTTATAGAATATTCGAAAAAATTGAACACTAAATATCGTCACAAGTTTCAAAATTATTGTCTCAATTCGCCAACTTTATTTTTTCAAATATTTTTTATTTTTTCGATATCCGTTTCTAAACATAAATTGGCATACATTTTACTTCAATGCCACAACTTTTTGTTCCTCTAAAAAATTGAAAGAAAAAATATCTTATTTTATATAAATAAAGATAATTTATATTTTTTAAAAAAAGTAAAAAATAATTCTACATTCACCATTCACTTGGAGCATGTTAGAAAAATAATAAAAATCTTATAAAAAATATTTTTCACCAGCGGGCCTCGTTCATCCTAAGCGTTGCTGTTGTTTTCCTAGAATGCGTTATTTTTCAACTTTGAATCATTTTTTGAGCGCATTTTTTTTAAATTTAAAAATCTGATTTTACCGAAAATGTATTCTATCATGTTTAGAATAACTATCTAATGAATTGTAGACAATTTTGCAGTTTAACCTTTGAAGTCTTTATAATTTATATATAAAAAATCTATAGAAAAACTAATATAAATTATATTAAGATCAAAGGTTCAAGAGTAAATTGTCTGAGATTCATAGAGGGTATTTCAATGATGAAATACATTTCCGGTGAAATCAGATTTTTAAATTTAAATAAAATGTGCTCAAAAAATGTTTTAAAGTTTAAAATACAACATATTAACGATAAACACATTGACGCCATATATACTTCCATATGCTGTAGAGGTGCGCACCCCACCCAACTCGAAAGCCACCCTATCAAGTCAGGAAATTTTTATCTTTCGAGTAGGGAGGGTTTGGAAGTTTGGACGAGGATATGGAATTAAATTTAAGTTCAGGTTAGGTTGAAAGATGTTTTATTTTTAAATTGTCTTTTGTAGATAGGTCTCTAAGCAACATCAAGTTTAGTTTATTGAACATTTTTAGTTTATATGTTTTCTTATAAAGATATATATAATAATAAAAAA